AAGGCAATTCTGACCATGACATGAATGAACCTTGAAGACATTATACTACATGAAATAAGCCAGACAAAAAAGGACAAATATTGTACAAATCCAATTACAGGAGGTCCCTAGAGCAGTCACATTCAGAGACAGAAAGTAGAATGGTTGGTGCCAGGGGCTGGGGAGGGGAATGGGAGTTAGTGTTAGCGGGGACAGCGTTTCAGTTTTGCTAAATGAAAGAATTTTGGAGCTGGAGGGTGGTAATGGTGGCAGAAAACATGAATGTGCTTAATGTCACTGAACTGTGCACTTAAAAATGGTTAAGACTGTACATTTATGTTACAGGTATTTTACCACAACTGTTAAAAGAATCGAATTGATACCAATTTAAGCCATCACCACCACCACCATTCATCCAAGAAAATATACTTAAAGGTCAACCTTTTTTTTTTTCTTGTGAGAAACCAACTCTCCTAAATAGGATAGTCTTCCAATGATAAAATACAACAGATTTTTTTTTTTTTTTTTGACACAAGGTCTCACTTTGTCACCCAGGCTGGAATGCAATGGTGCAATCAAGGCTCATTGTAGCCTTGGCCTCCCAGACTCAAGCAATCCTCCCACCTTAGCCTCCCAAGTAGCTGGGACTACAGGTGCACACCACCACGCATGGCTTTTTCTTTCAGTTTTGTAGAGACAAGATCCCACTTTGTTGCCCAGGCTGGTCTCAAACTTCTGAGCTCACGCAATCCTCCTACCTTGGGCTCCCAAAGTGGTGAGATTACAGGAAGAAGCTGCTGTCCTAGCCATATTCTTATCATTATTATTTAAATGAATGAAGAAAGCATATTCAAGGTTCCTATTCCAATTTTGCTTAAAAGATGAACTCCAGCCCAGGGCCAGGAGACCAAGGCTAGAAGGCATTGCCAGCCCTAGGCTGCTCCTCCCTGGGTCCTTGGGTCTGGGCTGAGCAGGCAGCAGCTCTGCTGTTTCCCTCCCCATCTAGGCAGGCCTGGATGCTGCCCCAACATCGCATGCCACACAGGGCTCCACACGCTCCTCCCTCTCGCTCTGGTCTTCCCTGGGCCCTGTGGGAATTCTCGAGTCAAGCCCAGTGGCCCCTGCTGACCCAGGTCAAGGCTCTCACGGAGCATGAGGCGGCCTGCACTCTTTGAACCTCTTGAAACATTATAAGCAGAACACTGCCCCAGAGCCTGAGAGGCACAGCCGTGTCTCTGCTAAGGATGGTGCTTAGAGAAGGAAAAAAGACAGGGCCTGGCCTTTTTTATCCTGGGATTTCAAAGTGCATTTAGACACGCTAACTTATTACCACTCACGAGGTGGCAACTTCACATAGCCAGAGAAATGACAGCACAAGAAGTATCGTTGACTCCCAACCCCAAGACAAATCCAGAATGACACAGGATAAAAAAAAAAAAAATGACACAGGATTGTGCAACCTCCAGGCCTTTGTTCAAACAGCTTCTTCTATTAGATAAACCTGAGCTGTGGCGTTCTTCTTGGCAGTTTCTATTAGTGTGAAGGTGAATTCCTATCTAAAATGGAAGTTGACTACAGGTATAAAACACCGCCTCCCAAATCAGCTTGCAGACCCTCCACTGTGGGCACCTTGGGCTGGCCACGCAGGCTCACTCTGTCTTCTCTTCAGTGGCCCACACTGCTCCTACCTACACGCGAACCTCATCTGGGGTGCCCAGTTCCCATCATCGTAGGAAAGTGTGGGACCCTCTGACTTTGAGTTCAGGTCAAATACTACCCCAAACACCTGAGCTAGAATTTTCAAATCCAATTCTCCAGACACACACATACACACACACACACACACACACACACCGTACAGACTCACACTTGCACACATACTCCCACACATACTCAGCCAGCTTCTAGCCAGTACTTCAAATCCCCAAACTATAAGTAAAGCGCAAAAACACCCAGATAGGCTGTGTTCATTTATCATGGTCAAAGTCAACCAATAGATCCTCATCAGACAAGTGTGACAGGTCCGTCACAGTGGGCAAATGCTCTCCAGATGGCACCATGACAGCCACGGGAGTCATTTCAGGCCGGCCTATGGAATGGCGTTTGGTTCAGATCAGCAGCGCCCATAGACAGACATGGAGAAGCCTTCAAACCAGGTGTCCTTTCTGCATTAGCCTCCCTGTCAGAGATGCACTGAAATTATTCCTGCCGGGTGAGGTGGCATACGCCTGTAATCCCAGCACTTTGGGAGGCTAAGGCAGAAGGGGCACTTGAGCTCAGGAGTTTGAGACCAGCCTGGGCAACACAGCAAGACCCCATCTCTACTAAAAATTTAAAAAATTAGCTGGGCATGGTGATGCATGCCTGTAGTCCCAGCTACTTGGGAAGCTGAGGC